TATATAACGTATAAATCAAGATTAGAAGTAGCTGTGTTTAAGTGATGAATATTCTGTATGTAAATAAAATGGGAATTTACTTGCTTACTTATCGAGATGAATTGAATTAGCCATGTGTTGTTTATTAATCAAAGCTTTTATTTTCCAAAGTRGCGCACCGGAAGTCGTCCGTCAGTYRGTCTTTTAAAGATGGCGGAGTGCCTGGCTGCACGTTTGACYGCCCAGGAGGAGCAGATTCGGCTCCTTACCCAGGAGATCTCCAGCCTTCGGGATGGACTGAGCGGGGGTTTTGACGCCGCGGGTGTGGCGGCCACAAGCCCGGAGCTCGAAAGCCTGCGGGCCGAGAACGAGAAGCTCAGGTACCGGCTGCTGCACCTCCGGCKGGGTCTGCAGGCGGAGCTGGAGCCGGAGGAGGCGCTGAGACGGACAGAGCAAGCTGCTAAGACGGGCAAACCTCCGGACAAAAACACCAGCAAACACCCACAGACCAACAACCGAGCTAATAACAGGGTAATTATAAAGACCTGGACTATAAAACGTTACACATGTATTTACAAATAGGCCTTTGCTCCTAGAAGTGACACCCTCCCCCTGTGTTTCCAAAAATAACTGTCCCACTCACGTTGTCCAGCTGGCAATGTGACGTCATAGAAAAATCACAATGAAAGGGGMGAGAAACTTATTTGTGTTATTGACAGGTGTCAACCCCAGACCCAAAAGCAGGTGACAGGAGCAAGAAAGAGAAAAAAGACAAGGGGCAAGCATCAAGCGGAGGTTTGAAGGAGGTGAATACTGCATCATGATGTTAAATCGTTCCTTTATAGATGCAGTCTGCAAATATCAGTGTCGTGATGCTGACTGCTGTTTTTTTGTTTGCATGTTTTTCTACTGAAGCTAAATCCCTGGCCTGGATACATCGCTGAGCGCCTCAGCCTGTATGAGAAGCTGAAGGAGGAGAGTGATGCTCTGCTGGCAAAGAAAGCTACAAACAGTAAACCCATCACCGTGGAGCTGCCAGATGGGCGGAAAGTACCGGGCAAGTCTTGGGTTACCACACCATATCAGGTGGCTTCCAGCATAAGGTAATCAGGTTTTTACTCTGATGAAAATATTTATATAGTAAAGGCATCCAACAAAACAGTTTTTTTTWAACTGAGCTGTGATGCTCTTGTTGTTTTCAGCCAGAGCCTGGCTGACACCGCAGTGATTTCTCGAGTGAACGGGGAGCTCTGGGATCTGGACCGGCCTCTCGAGCAGGACTGCTCTCTTCAGATCTTGCACTTCGACCATGAAGATGCTCAAGCTGTGAGTACAAGGACCTGTTAGCTAGGACATTTTAGCAATAAAATAAACGTGTAAAGAGTTAACCAGAATGCAAATCGTAATAGGAAACATGTCTAAATCATGGTTTTCAAACTCAGGTGTACTGGCACTCCAGTGCTCACATCCTGGGGGAGGCAATGGAGCGTTTTTATGGAGGCTGTTTGTGTTACGGACCCCCCATAGAGAACGGCTTCTACTACGACATGTTCCTGGATGAACAGAAGTGAGCAGATATGTTCATTTTCAGTTCAGATCTTCTTTACACTTAGCACATTTTATGTATGATGAAACACTCAATTTTAAAAGACAAGAGAGTTTTGAAGTGACAGGATCATCATGATGAAACATTTAAATTTACAGTAATTAAAACTTGTCAGGAGAGAGTTCTGTTTGAGCCGAATGCATCTGCTGTTTCCAGGTCGGTGTCCAGCTCTGAGTTTGGAGACCTGGAGACTCTGTGTAAGGCTGTGGTGAAGGAGAAACAACCTTTTGAGCGGCTCGAGATCAGCAAGCACACCCTGCTGGAAATGTTTAAGGTGAGAGTAAAAACAGGAAGGACACACAGGAGACACGTGGCTCAATTTTTAAGTGTTGTAGTTCGCAGATTTTAATGTTGAAAATAAAATTCCATAAAATAAAAAAGTGTGAAAAATAGACTTTGTTTCTTGAGTGTCAGAAAATATTGTTCTTTTTTTCTTCCAGTACAATAAATTTAAGTGCCGCATACTGGATGAAAAAGTTGCCACCCCTACGACTACAGTCTACAGGTGAGCTGCTCATGGTTTGACGATTATCTTAAAGGACTTAACAGTAATCATTAGAT